GTTTATTGCCAAAATGAAATTTCCATTGTTGCTTCTTGGCGTAGTAATGGTTCGACGATTTGATTCACTGTCACTGGAAATGTCAGTGGCACGGGCATTCCCGCATGACTAATTACTCTGTCCAAACAAACTTTCCGCAAATAATATGCGGTAAGAAGTCATATTGCTGATTTATCGAGTGCGGGCCGGAGAATCATGATTGAAGCAGCTCGCAGCTACCGCGGGTTTCTCCTCTCGGAAGAATTGCAACCTCATCAAACTCAAAGATATGGCCGGATCCCGACTAATAAGCCGCGGAATGCCCGGCCACTCTCGTATGGAGTGATCTCCTAGTTTCGCCGACGTAGTTATCTTGTCTGCAACTGTACTGGATCCGGCAAACGGCTCCGGACGTTTCCTACCACGGCAGTGGATCTTTTGGTCCCATGACCTGTCGCCTGATGGTAGCCTCCTGTCTGTTTGCGATTCCAATTCCGAGTGGTGGAAGAAGGCAAATGACGTCTTCCGGACGTCATCAGATTTGGGAAGGATAGAATTTCGACTCTCGTCTCGTTTACACATGTGCCAGCTGACAAATTTGCGTGGGTAACTATTCGCTCTAAGCACTAGTAGAAAATATTTTGGTTCAGCAACTTAGTTTTCCGATTCGCTGCTATGTGTTTTGGTCGGTATAGCGTCTTTACGCAACTTCATTTGTGACTGATTGAGTGGTTTCGCCTGATGCTCAGTATTTTCATCTCATTAGTCGCTTTCCTGAACAATAATTTTGGTAGTCACCACAATCTTTACAGCAGGCAATGACATCAAGGAAAACCAGTGGATTATTCTCGCCTCCCTCCATTGTAAATTGTGTCTGCTGAGACTGCATTGAAAAGTCCTTTGGATAGCATCACCGGATTCCCTCCAATGACGACGAAGGTATCTAGGCCCGATATGTTGATAGTACGTGAACAACGTCTCGGGAGCCGTCAGCAGCCTGCATGTCTCATCTGAAATTGGAGTCGCACACAGACCGGAAGCAGGAACTACTTTACAAGTAACAAACTCGATATTATAGCCAACAGATACCGAGATGTGTGTTCTGCGCTTGGATACGAATAGGTCTCCAGGATCGGACACTATGTACTACCAGTAACGTCCCGTTTCTGTACTAACTTCCTCTCCACTTAGCACGCTTAATGTCAGTCTAAAAAACCAGGAAGGCCTTCATCAGAGCTAAACATAAATTGATCATCGAGAAAGTTTATTGAAATCGTTCAGCCAACCACTTACTTGTCCAAACTGGCGGTTTTCTGGACTACAGCACGTTCTTCAGTTCCCTGTGCCTAGTGGTGCTCCACAGGTATCTGAATTGGAACCGTTTCTCCTATCTACATGGATGGCCTACCGAATATAATTCTTAACAACTGTCCACTGTTTGCATATAACAGTTAAGTTTAATGTTGGTCACAGGACAATACTTATATGCAGGAAGATCTTCTTCGAGTTTGCAAATGGGCGGACGAGTTAGGTTTTGCCGTAAATGCGCAGAGGTCAGTGTTTACGGAGGGTAATCCGGGGAATGACTTATAAGTGCTTCATTGCGTAATATATGGTGACAGGCGATTTTGCGAAATGGACCTTCATACGGCCAGAAGTTATCAATTCTACATACCTAGTACCACCGTAACAATACTATGGGGCTTCGAAGATGGCTGATAAAGGGTCTGCTAAGCTTGTTAGCTCCAGATGAAATCTAGGGCTAGAGGGTAGAGCGCGTGGGTTTCAACTGCCCTCGTTATGGCAAGAGAAGCACGCATAAATCTTGCAAATATACAGCAAAATTATGCAGCTGGACAATATAAGTTATGGGTTATTTCGTCTTTTAGGCATATTCCAAAAACTGGTTAAGACTTGATTGAGTACACTGGGTCGACAGACGGGTTTTCCGCAGTCTGTTATGCATTCCTAGATTTAAGAATATGAAGAAATGCCATCAGGTTCCATAAACAGTCTACTGATAGTAAAGTGACGCACCGCGGTATGAGGCTGCAAACTGCAAGTGTTCACCTCAAAACTCTGCAATTCGGCTGGCCCGCGATCAGGACAATACTATAAACTAACATATACACCTTATTTGTTTTTTTGACATATTTTTCTAATAAACCGAACTGTTATATTTATTTGAAATCCGTTTCCTCTTTGATATGCGCTTAAACCAGTCTTGTCCCCTTTTCACCAAACCGTTTTGGCTGCCTTTTCCACATTTTTATTGGCTTCAGTTCATTTTTCACATCTCCTTTTCTGTCTTTCGATCCTCAGTTTTTCCAGCAACTTAAGTGTTGATGCGCTTGTCACGCTATTTTTAATCGCCGTCGGTCGTCAGTTCGACCGTCGATTTCGACGATGTCCACCGTGTGCCCCACAGACTGCATTGTGGGAGCAGGGACGGTGACTTACGCAGGGGTTTATAGTGCCAGTAGACTTGCGTCGCATCTACCTACACTCTCTCCTCCTCCCCCGCCTGGGCCCGGTGTCAAGACAGAGTCAAGAAGACCGGAGACGGGGGAGGCCGCAGGTGGATGGCTCGGACGGATCCTCACCTTGGCGTTCCACCAGACCCCCTGGTCCACACAACAATAACCAGGATTTGAACCAACACAACATAGATTTGGAGGCTGGCACGACCGAAGCCGCACCTAGGCGTGCCGCCAACGCCTGGCTCGGATCCCACGCTGTGGTGGGAATGCCATAAAGGCCACATTAAAAAGGAGCCATTGCAGCCTGACTCTCAGACCGCCTCATGTTAAGGAGGAGGTCCAAGGTACCCCGTCAGTTGGCAACCTTCCAAGCCACGGCTTTTAGCGCACCGTGATAGCTTCAAGCGCGTCAGATTAATTATAGTGAGGAAAATGCGCTGAGTCGTCGACCTCACTCTCCCTTCCCATTCCCACACCCCAGCCACTGTCCGAGCCGGTCAGTAGACTGGAGTGGGGAATGGGCGCGGTGGCTGACATGGTCGACTGACCATGCCTGCGCGCGCCACACCACGACCTGGCCCCCCATACACACACAAACACCAGGATTTCACACAACGGGGGTTGAACGGCGTGTCTCTCACTTGCGTGAGAGTGCCGTGGAAGGTGCTGTTGCAGCCCGTCCCCAGCCCACCAGTCCGCCACTCCACACAACACACACACACAACGTGACGAACTGCGTGAATCGAGAGTGGGCCTCAATCAGCAACCTTCCTATCCACGACACTTGACGTGTCGGGATAGGCTCGGACACAAGTCACCCGTGCAGCCGAAACCGCATGGGGACCGAGTCGAGATGCACACTTCCCAATTGCGTGGGAGGCGGCAGTTGAGTGCATGAGGTGTGTGAAGGTTGATGTCTGGTGGGGTGATGGTGTTAGGAGGTAGGGGGTGAGGGAATGTGTGGTGTGACCGGCGGTTGTCTACCGCAGGTCGTCGTGGATGCGCATGTGGCCGAATAGACCCATGCGATGCGTGAAGGTGCGAGGGCATTGTAGGCAGTGGAGGCGAGTGCGGTGGGTGTAGGTTGGTGCTCCAGGCACTGGTTCGCCAGTCTCTGTGCGATGGATTCGCAAGTGACCGACCAGGCCGATGTGTGAGGTGAAGGTGCGTGGACAATGTGGGCATGAGAGGTCGGCGGTGTCGGTGTCAGCTGTAGAGGAAGCAGTGGTGTTGGTGGTGGTGGCGGTGGTGGTGGTGGTCGACGCGTGTGACGGTGGAGTGAGGATTGGTCTGGGCGTGGTGGATGTGTTGGATGTCGTGGCTGTATCGGAATTGTGGTCAATTCCGCTCTCGTGGATGCGCATGTGGCCGAATAGACCCATGCGATGCCTGAAGGTGCGAGGGCAGTGTGGGCAATGGAGGCGAGTGCGGTGAGTGTAGGTTGGTGCTCCACGCACTGGTTCGCCAGTCCCTGTGCGATGGATTCGCAAGTGACCGACCAGGCCGATGCGTGAAGTGAAGGTGCGATAGCAGTGAGGGCAGATGTAGTCCTGGCCCTCACGTCTGATGATGGAGGTTGCAGGGGTTGTGCGTGTTGTTGTGTCAGGTGTGGCTGTGGTGAGGTCGTGGGCGACAGACGCCGAAGCGGCCGTCGTTGTGGCAGTGATGGAGGAAGATGAGGAGGAAGGGGAGGAGTGGAGGGTGGTAAGGTCGGTGGCGTCGATGTCGGCTGGGGAGTGGTTAGTGGGTGCACAAGGTGGTGGATTGGGAGT